TCATTCTCTAGGTTTTAGAAAATGCGATCCTTTTTTTGTTGAGAAGAAGTGTCTTATAATCCTTAAGACGATGTCACTAAGCCTGTTAGATCGAGTTGCGCTAACAATCTCTTTGGAAAAAGCGTTCGAGGTCGAAGACGGTTTGACTCGCCTGACTTTTGGCCTGTCGAGTCATTTTTAAATGCCAAATCACCGAATCTGCTCCATGGAGAAAACCTGTGCGTGATAGGGGATGTAATCTAACATCCTGATTACAAATATGACATTCATTCTTGGCGCTGGCCGCTAATGGAGAACACTACGATTATCTGCCCTCTGCCAAAGCTGAACCCAGAAGATAATCGTAGTGTCCTCTATTAGCGTCAGCGTCAAGAGTGAATGTTATTTGTAGAACGGGATGTTAGAGTGTACCTCTATATACAAGTTTATAGCGGATTTGAAGATCTAGGGACTTCTAAAATAAGCTCGCAGCCAAAAATCAGCGCGTCCAAACGGCATTAGCCAGGAAGAACAAAGTGATGACATGACGCAACATCACGACATTGAATTCTTCTTTAGCATTAGCCAAATGATTTCCATATCTGGAGCGCCAAACAAGGGGTAGTTGGCTATGAGCTATGACGATGGCTGCAAAGGTTCAGAGGGTAGACACGGGAAGTCGTTGTCGCAAACCAATATGGACTGTGCCTTTCTTGCATCGCCATGTACCAGAAATCTGACTTGTTCAGTTTCATGCACAGTACCAGTCTGTTTATTCGGGATACCTGCAGACATGCGCACGAGGACGGTTCCTGGCCTCGGCTCCCCGAAATAGGAGTCTTCAACTCCCAAACGCATGTCATTGCATGAGAGTAGACGAGCTTGGCCTGGGTGATACCGAATCCTCGCTTGTGGTACCCGGATCGTGCAACTAAATGGAGGCCAAGCATTTGCCCACCTCAACCATGCTGAATGCGACAAAAGGAAGCTGTTTTTAGTTATAATAACTGACATGCATCTAAAATTCCAGTAATTGTCTATTCAGCATGGCGGCCGCAGACGTGCGCTAGCCAAAACATGGGCATCGCTTTATTCTGCCGATTTCAGATCACCTTTCCAACAGATTCCGCTATTTTCAGGATCCATAGCGTAATTTCATGAAGTCGTGAGGTTTGAGTTCATATTCGAGCCGTGGGAGCAGGATCTTGATGAGGAGGGAGAGCGAATGTCGAAACGTGATTTTTCCTCTTCCTCCTCCTCCCCTATCGGTCTGATAATGGAAATGTATTTTAGAAATTCATGATGATTCTGGGTGATTCAGCTTTTGCACTCGTCACTGCTCTGAATGTCTTGTCATTTATCGAATTCGAATAGCTAAATTAATAAGCGGGTGAATAAGTTAGCTGCCAAAGCAGTGGCGTACGATGGCTGTCGGGGCATTTCTCAGGCCAACGTCGACTATGGAAACGAGTAGCATTGTGTCATACTCCATCTCTGCAGCCCTTCACTATGTGACCCTGGCAAGGACCACCCCCCAGCCTGTCTAGCTCACTGCCTTCAACTGCTGAACTATGTGTGGTGTTTTCTAGCGATTGAACGACTTCTTATACTGGAGGAGTATCCCACGATATGGATATGGAGCTGCGGAGGCCCTTCATAATCGGGAGTTTCTCTGGAGGACCCACGTCCGGAAAGGTCCGCTTGAATAAAAGCTTGAGGGAAATCGCTCGATTCGCTCATCAGTGTTATAGTACGCAATTCCATATACTATTCGTAAGTAGGTGCTGGTACGGGTGCGCACGTGCTCCTTCATGGGCACGGAATCACCAAAAATCAATATCATTATCTTCACGTTACATCAAGCAATAATTGTACCATCACCGAAGTTTCGCGAGAAAATTATTAAAAAAAAAAAAAAAAAAAAAAAAAAAAAAAAAAAAAAAAAAAAAAAAAAAAAAAAAAAAAAAAAAAAAAAAAAAAAAAAAAAAAAAAAAAAAAAAAAAAAAAAAAAAAAAAAAAAAAAAAAGAAGAAGAGGAAGAGCATTAATAGTCGACTTGAGAGACGCAGAATTTAGGTCGCTGCAGACGATTAACGCGCTGGTTTTGCTAAGTACCCAACCACCTACCCTCTTCCCCCTCCGAAACGAACAGTTAACAGTAGAAAACAACATTCTCAAAGGCGACTACGGCGCCTTCCCCTCCCTCCAGTGACCACAGCAATATACAAGACCTACTAATTAATCGGCCCTCCTCGTCGGGGATTCCCCAGCTACGACTACGTCCCTGGAGATAACTTGAGTACCATAAGTACCTTGACAACAGATCTTCAGGTTCTTCAATTTCAGGGTCTTTGCTCCGACCAGTTTTAGCTCAACAACCAGAATTAACGGCAACGACCCATCAGGCATACTACCACGAACTTCAGCGATCTGGCATACTCAACGCCCAACTGCGACTGTTAATCGTTGGACGGCAAAGGCAACTACATACGTCCAATTGCATTGAGGATAAATTTTTCGGTCGTTCTAGCCTTCAGCAGGCGTGCTTCTCACAGCGCGTTTCTCAACTCCGAAATCGCGCGAATGCATCTCCGAACTCTCCGAAGTATCGAAGCGTAGCCTCAACGTGGAAATTACACCCAGTTACCTGTTTTTTTGGCTTTCCTAGCAGAAATCACCTTCTAAACAAAGTCGGAGCCCATCTTTGACCTGGCAGCTACGAGACGTCCAAAAGGGCGTTCCAAAACTGGGACGACTCCCTCTCCGAAAAGGTATAACAGTACAAGTATTCTCGGAAAACTTCGCCGCCGTTAGAACATTGTTTCTTTGCTGTCCACGAAAATGGATCGCCTGATACGCGTTTGCTGCACACTTCCTACGCGGGAAATTTCACCCTTCATCCTTGGCCAGCACCGTACAGCAGCCCTTTCCGCCGACAATCGAATAAGGTTGATTTTTGCCAAAGGTAGCGGGGACCGGCTAAAATAAGAAAAGCAGTTGGTGCATTTTAGGAGGCGCAGAACGCGACAACAAAAGCGGCGCAATCCACAAAACGAGGGGTCGACGGCATCGACTGGGTAGATCAAGAATGCTCCTTTCGAAAAAAGTGGCCTTCCCAAAAGTGAGGGACTGGCAAAATAACAAAGAGAGCAGTGTGAGGCATTAGGAGAGGGCATAGCGAGCGATCGAAACCATGAGGGCGGGCATTGGACACGATAGATCAACGGGCAAAGTGTCTCCGTCGTACAGTGTGAGCGCTCAGCGAACGGTGGGGCGTCCTACGACCACGCTGTGCGCAGGCGTTCCCGTGATTGCCCCTCACGAAACCCTACGCCCCTACGATAACCGTTTCGTATGGGAAACCGAAAACTTTCAGGAGATTATCATCATTGCCTCTCCGTCTCTTACTCTGCACTCTGCGCTCTAACACACGCCGCGGCACCGTCTACCCACTCTTCCGCTCTGGACTCTTACCGATCGATAATTGACTGACGCTCTCGATCAGCTGATTCCTAACCGCATCTTTCGGCAACGTATTTTTGATTCAGCTTGGTAAAAGCGTGCAAAATTTTCGACTTTTGACCTCAATATTCGAAGGTGAGTATCCTTACTGAAATTATTCCACATTTTGCATGAATTTAGCATGAAATTCCCCTAGGAAACTTGTTTTTCTTTCTGATTTTCGCAATTTCTCCAAACTTTCTCTCAATACCCATTATCTTATGATACTTGACGCAGTTTCAAGACAGGCTCTCAGATGTGTCCACAGATCCTCGACAATCACTTACCGGCCCTCCGACCTCTAATGTATTCCCTACATCCCTATATCCTCGTTATTATCGAGAACCATCTCTGACACTTTTTTGAAGCTCGAAGTTGCCTTAATGGTTCGCTTTCCCATGCTAAAATTCCCAATTCAATTTTTTTTTCTTTCCCAATTTAATGCTAAATTCATGTGATATAATTTCAGTAAGAATACTCACCTTCGAACATTGAAGTCAAAAGTCGGAAAATTTCAGCTTGTTTAACAAGCCTGGAATCTAGCAAAAATTTCACTGCGAAACATTATCGCAGGAAAATCAGCTGATCGAGAGCAATTATCGATCGGTAGGAGCCTAGAGCGGAAGAGACGGTAGACGGTGCGGCGGCGTGTGTTAGAGCGCAGAGTGCAGAGTAAGAGACGCAGAGGCAAGGTTTTTGCGGCCATCCACCGACAGGCAACTATCGGGCCGCTCGCCAGCGTGGCCTTAGGACCGCCCCACCGTCCGCTGAGAACTGCACTGTACGTAAGCTGAAGATCCAAGAAAAGGGTGTTACACAATTCGGCCCATAATTTGTACATTTTTGTGTAGAGCTGGTCACGCTGATCTCAAAAATGTGGTTCATATTTCGCAAAACTTATTATAAAACGACTAATTTATTCGTTTAAAATCATGCCACCGAAGAATACGGCAAGCAGCCGCGAACGACATGAAGGGTGGTTAGCAGGCCATCAAGAGACCAACCAGGAGAAGGGAAGAAAAGATTGGGAAGAGGAAATGGGAAGAATTTCGAACTATTATGTGAAAAAACAAAGTGCAGACATGAGATGCTCCCCCGTTCCTCTCCCCCTCCCTCGATACACACATTCGAAACCTATTTAGAATCGTAGAGCTATTAATAGGATCTTTGGTTGGCCCTGATATCGATGAACCTATGGATACCGAAGACACGGGTGTCACAAAGGGCCCACCTTGTCGCTTGGGAAAGATTTTGCAGATTACGAACGCTCCAAAGCTTCCGATTCCCTCCCTCCAGCGACCAAACCACCTCCCCCTCCCTCGGGGCCTATCGAGCAGCGAAAACGGGGGATGTAACGAACGTGGCTTATGGCCGCTCACGCTACCACGTTGTGAGGCGTTGGGTTCCTGGACGAATGCTGCGCATACATGAACCCCTCCTGCAACGTTCTATTTCGCCGCGATTAGGGAAGTAGACGCCTCCACACCCAGAAGACGTATGGCCATTGGATCTTTCCAAATTATGTGCGTTCCAAATTTTCAGACATCGGTTATCCAAAGAATCATGGATCGTTTCCAAAAATGGAAAGAAGCTCGCAATCAACAGGTATATTGATAGAAAAAAAAACATTACAAGTTTTTGTATGAGCTTCTATTAATCTTCGGGTCAGTAGGACGTCACTGTATGGGGGGAAAACAGGCGTTAGCTGGCTTGGTGGGGTCATTTCGCTGGTTCTCGTCGATCACTGTCGATATCTCCCGTGGACACTTGTAACTAGAGTGGAGTTATACGGTGGCAGAAGCTCTGCTTGCTCGTGACGAGCGTCTCCAGTTCTCATCAAGGTGTGACGTAGATAATAACTAGTAATAGAAACTAGTGAACTCGCAAAAAGCCCCTTCCAAGCCGAACAGTGCCGGATAGCCTCCGAATTGGGCTGATAGTCAGGAGATCTGAACTAGAGAGTTGTTCACGCGCGCGCGATACGCGTGATCCTTCTCCGCTTCTCTGCTAGATAGCGACCGCGAAGCCGCTTTCATGGCTCTGCGCCCTCCTTCCCTCACTCGGATCTCCTGACCAGTGTCTTTAAATTGAGTTTTCATTATCATGTCGTACACGAGGCTGTTCTCGTTAAGGTCATAACCATCTCAATGGAATCTTTCTATAAGGAACTCAATGAAGAAGAACGAGCACAAGCAGAATATGGAGAATACGACTTTGATCACCCAGGTTAGATAATAAGGGGACGAAAAGGGGCATTTCGGCAAGGAATGCCTAGGAATCCCTTAGCAGCCCGTTTCTCTTATACGATCATGATCCCCTGCAAACGAGTAGGGCGTGTGACAGGGCTCTGGCTTGAAGCGCAACGAGGCAGATTTCCAGCCAGTCGTAGCGGGCTCAGGACGGCCTCTTTCGTGGAGAAGGGCCACGCTGGTTGCGCCTCAATCCGCGCCGCGTCATACGCCCTGTCGTTTGCAGGTATCACGGCTATAAACACGCCTCCGCCTCTCTTTCATCTGGACCATCCCCACTCTCGTAGTTCCTCCCTTTGCTCTCAGACTTGAAGTGTAAAACGTCGTTGTACGTTAAACTGAAAGATCATGATTTTCAGCTGCGTTCGATTTCGACAAATTGGCAGAAACCATTTCTCGCCTGGAACAGGGATATGCCGTCACCATACCTCATTATGACTACCTGACCAGTAGGAGGTAAATTTTCGCTTATTGTGCGTCATGAAAATCATTGCGTGCAGCTGAGGTCGATGAGTTGCGAACTGTGTCCTGGAAAGGACACGGCGCATCGGTGAGAAAGGCACTATTGAGGACTGGCTCCGCCCACACGGCAGTCGTGGAATCTGTCTTTGAACTGCGTTCTACATACAATTGGAACAATGGAGACAATTTTCAGTGATGGCACGCTATGTCTTGAACCAGCAGATGTTATCATCGTCGAAGGAATTTTGACATTTTATGATGAACGAATTCGAGAGAAGTTCACTATGAAACTGTTTGTTGATGCAGATGCGGATGTTCGATTGGCAAGACGAGGTAGGTGGAGAACTGCAGTGTCAACCTTATGGCGATGGCGTGGCGGGGGCACAGTTGCAGCTTTCGCTGCGTGATAGGGGGGTGTTGCGGGCAAGTGGGGATGAGACGTGTGAGCGCGGCGTCAGCCCGTCTGCACAAATCGCCGAGAGCAGTGCAGGCGACAACAACTCGTGGCTAGAAACTGTATAGTGGCCGCGCCAGCCAAATCCGTTAGGTCCCGCGTTGCGTATGCCTCACTATCCATCAGAGAGCAACGTCTGTAATTCCCAGTCTGATATTGAAGGTTACAGGGTTTAGAAAAAAGCCGGCCTTCACTACCAATGCCGAACTACATCTTAGTGCTCGTATCTCCTGAGACGGGCGTAGGCGTTTGTTTTTTGTGGGTGGTTTAGGCTATTTTTTTGGATTTTATCAGTCTCTCATCTATTTATATTGTGTCTGGCGTGTTTTACTCGTTAAATTATTTTCAATCTAAGATCTATATCTTCTGCTCTATTCGCTGTGTTTTTCTTTTTAGTGGACAGAGATTGCGCTGATTCACATCTTGGTGGAAATCGAGAACATTCTGCCAAAAGCCAATAACCACCAAGACGTTGGTTAGCTGCAAGTACGCAGCCAGCGCCCTACCTACATTCTCGGGATTCGAGAGGCGCTGTACATTTGCATAAAACGGATCATGGTCAAGTAGACATAGTCAAAGTATTTAGTGAAACGCGATACTGTCTACCGAAAACGTCCTTTGCCTCTGGTGTTATCTCAATACACAAATTTGGTCAGTTTTTATTAGGTTTTTTCTCTCAAGAGAACACATCCTATGCTTGCCGAGAAAAGGAGGTCTAGTCGGGTCTCGCAGGAACAGCAATTTGTTTAGGTGTCCGGGGCAACTTTAACGCAGGGAGGAAAAGCAGGCAGAGAATCATTGGAAACGTTTCAAATTGAACACTTTATGTTCCGAAGTGGTTCTTCAGCAGAGGCGCGCCCAAAAAGAGACGCGAGTTAGTGTGTGCGTGCTGGCACGAGCGCGCCAGAGGCCCAAAAAAAATGAGTCGGAGAACAGAGAACGAGCGAGACCACAGCTCAACATAATGCCACTCCATTCCAGCGTTGGTGGGGTAATAGCTGTGTAAAATAATGGCGTGTAGTTGCTCTGCGCTACTCACTCAGAGGCGCCGTAGATCGAAGCAAGTTATCATCACTGCGGATTCGCTAACCGAGTATTACCCTACCACTTAGGCGGGGGGGTACTATTACTTTACCTACGGGTTGTCCTAGGTGAGCGTCTTGAAGATTCGTGTGCATTTGTTAACTAACCGGCTCGGTTTCCATAAGTAAAGAGTGCGCAAACTATAGCAATACATCGGTGGAAAAACGGGCTGCGGACGGGCCACGCCAGGCCGCGCGCAGGGGTTCAATAGCGGCTCTTGACACGTCGACAGCATCACCTAACGAACCACCACTATAGAACGCGACCCTTCCAGCTTTGCAACTGCCATCAATACCATTTGCAGTAGTGGAAAAGGCTTATGAGAGAATCTGTGTGGCTCTCGCGGCGGGATCGATGGCAACTAAGATGAAACGGGATCTCAGCAAATCGTCGGGTCAGTACACCGCGTCATCACCTAAGATTAACGGGAACGAATTCTACAACACATGTGAACTCCGAAAGCAGAAAGATGAGCAGAGAGAATCCAAGGTGCAAGCCTAAGCGTAAAAGGATCTGTTTTCCCCGGAATTCCCAGAACACTAGGACTTATCCAATTCAGAACCTGTTCCACTTCAGAGTTCTATTCCAAGCTTCAAGTCTTTGTTCCACAAAAATGAAGTCAAAATAACGTCCTGATTTGGGGGTTCTCCACCGCATCTCCGATTAATTTGCTACGGCGTGGCTTCTTATGGCGCAGGTTCCGATCACTTTGGGCGCCAACTACCTTTTCCCAAACTAAAGTGACTCTGATAAAATCTGAGGCTGTCTGGAATCACTCCTTTACTCATTTTAGGTGAAACCGGCATTCGAAGAATTCTGCCAACCGACAATGAAGTACGCTGACGTCATTATCCCAAGAGGAGGTGAAAATGATGTTGCCATCGATTTGATAGTACAACACATTGAGGTTTGCTATCATCCTCTATAAAATGATCTGAAAAGGCAGCACAAAGGCCCACGCACTGAAGAAAAGGCGAGAATAGAGGGAGAGGAGGTAGGATGAAAACAAAAATAGAATGAAGGGGAAAGGATCAGTGCTCAATGCAGAGATGTGAATGAGCGAACAGGAAAAAATTTAGACGGGATGTTAGATGACCATGTGAATTACAATAGAAGGGGCCAACTGGAAGATAACTGTCCCTTCTGCTCGACTCTATCTGTGAAGACAAGGAACGTCAGAATAAGAAAACGAGATGGTGAGCCTGACCATACGACTCATATGACCCACGTGGACGGTATCTGGACCAGGTTCTCGGAGCTACGCCCGGTGAAAAGCGGGAACGGGAAGTTCAACGTCCGCGAATTCCAAGTGTTTTATAATGAAGTAATTCCATGTTGCCTATTCCCCTATGCCTCCTTCCTATCCCTGTTGATAACCCAACCCAATGAACGTGCTGACACATAAATGTGGAATATTCTCTCACGAAGTAATACCTAAACAAATTTTTGTGGCAAGAAGTCGCAGTCAGCACAAATGCAGCCTTTTGCAGGATTTCCTTCGCCCAGCCCACGACAAAAACGAGCATCTCATCAAGCCACCGTCTGAAGGAAAACTAGCGATCATTCCTCTACACTGACGCTATTCTCATATCAGCTCTACCAACGAATTCAACAGGAGGCTCGCTGTTCCGATTGAACTGTGATTGTGGTGCCTTAGATGTACTTCGGTTAAGCAACCTGTATGTAAATACATATTGTAAGAATTATTTGTGTATACAGACCTTTTACAAGTGTTCCAACGCAGACGTAAAGGCTCTCGGACATTTTCACTTGGGAGGGAAGGTACGCGCGACGGTTTTCTGAGCATACTTACTTAATGGTATTCTCATCCTCGTGGACCTTTGTCTTCACCATGGGTGAATGGGTCCGTGGCTGCAGCAGCGTGCCACCTTCTTCGAAAAAATGTGTATGGGAACGGGGCTGAACTGCAGTGATACCCAAGTACCGTCTCTCGACCCGCTGCCAGCCCCACGCCTAACCGTATCCAAACGCGCTACTTGTCTAAAACCTCTCACATCCGATTTCTCTGTACCGCCGAATGCGTGTTTCGTTACGGGATTTTGGTACATACGCGAGCGCTGCACCTTGCAGAATTGCATGGGCATCCTTGTAACACTACCCTCCTGCCCCTCCCCTGCACTTTTGAGCGGAGAAAGTGGCACGCTGCTCCATTCGGGAACCATTTAGCTCGTACACGGCAAAAGCGGTCCTGTGAGTGGACAGTTTGTCTGAAAGTACGCCTTATGGGCAGCAGTAGCTCATGACTTGTGTTAGGGCTGTCTCCATGCTCCTTGAAGGAGTAAGATGGCCAGTGCAAATGCCACACAGGTCAACGATATCGGTCGTCTCCGTATCTGCCATCCCTTGTCGTCTGATGCCTCATGCTAGTTCGATGTCTCTTCGTCACTTTTGTAATACATACAACGGTCAAACCTAATTTCAGAGAGAAGTACATTCTTTAGAGCGTTTCTGACGAGGTTTCCCAAAACTTAGCCTCGACAGCACTGTATTTGAACCCTTTCACTCACATTTCGCTGACGTAAGTGTTCCTCCAAGGTGCTCTTCCGCATTCGCTGAATCTTCTAGATAAAACTTTCAATTCACTAACTGCCTTGGCATGGAATGAGAAACTTTCTGAAGTTGCTTTGTTTCACCTTTGCTGGGAACCTATTCTTAACACGCTTGTTCTCTCAGTACCCGATGCGCTGGAAATTCTCAACAGCGCAGGCCCACAGACCTGCAAGAGCTGCGCACGCAGCTGGATCAGCTTCGAAACACCTCTCGCAGGCCAGTATTTCATAGATCATGTCCCCGGCAAGTAGAGTATCGCGAGTCGTGACACATGACGATCAAGGTTCCAGCTTTGCGCGGGTCTACGGGAGGAGAACATGGGACCGCTGGAGAGCGTCAGAGACATTACCAGGCTGAGAAGTGGCAGGGAGGCAGTGTCGCCCTGTCGCCAACTCATCTTGACCAGCAGTCGCTTCATTTCCATGTGCTCGCCATACGAGTTATTTCACCCTGGACTGGCTTCCAATAAGTAAATAGCTATCTAGGGAGTTCTCACATCATTATTAAACTGCCGAAAGGCTGTTGAAAGCTTTGTTGGTCCGCCAGACAACAACCAATCGATGCATTCTTTCGCCGACTAATTTATCCCGTCCCCCATAACAAAGTTTACACAACCAGCTATTCATTTCTCCTCTGGAATTTCATGCGTCACTGGAAATCTTTCTTTGATTCCTTTGAAAGTAATTCAGGAAAGATGATGAAGGAAGGGTAAGCTTCCCGCAAATCCCGCACTGAGCTCTGTGCGCGGTGGCTAATGCCGTTTGGACTCCAGAAATTTCGTCTTCGAGCTCATTTTCAAATTGCCTAAGTCACCAAATCCACTAAAAACTTGTATATAAGGGATAATTACGAGTATGACACTCATTCTTGGCGCTGGTCGCCAAGAAGAGGACACTACGATTACCTCCTGGGCTCAGCCTTAGCAGAGCGCAGGTAACCGTAGTGTCATCCATTAGCGCCAGCGCCAAAATGAATGTCATATTCGTGATCAGGATGTTGAATTACCCCTATATACAAGTTTTTAGCGGATTTGGTGATCTTGCCACTTTTAAAATGAGCTCGAAGCGTGGAT